TATCATCCAATACAAACAATGATAAGAAACAGCAAAAAAAGTCAGCAAATAAACATTCAACACTTCCCTACCACGCCGCAACCAACCATTACTGTCAACAGCAAGATCAGCAACTGGATGCTACAGAAGTGGTATATGACGTCACGTGAATATTGTGTTGCCACCTATCCGCAGCGGGAGTGAAGCTACTAAATAATCCGGTGGTAGCAGTCGTAGCAAATGCTACCAACCCATGGAAGTGCTAAGAACCCAGTCGCTCTTCCCGTGTAGTGACTGAATGCAATCTACTTCACTAATATCCATCTTAATATTATCCTTCCAAATTGCCTCTTCCCTTCAGGCTTCCCAACCAAAATTTTATACACATTTCTCATCTTCCTCCTACCCAGCTCATCCTAATTGCTTCAATCATTCCAGCAGTATACCACATGAAGAGTGATGATCACCAACAATTTCATTCATGGATGGTGTTAATAGTTCCAAAAGTAATTCTGAATAAATGTCACAGGAAAGATTCCTAGGAAACTACTGTAGTCATTATCATCTCCCATTCCATGAACAATGACTGTAATTGATTCTTTGCAGTCATGCCCACTTCAAGAAACTTGGATTCAGAATTTCAACTTGTCATGTACAGAAGTCCTGAGAATCTTAATCCTTGAATTTTAAAGTCACAGTCCTGTTGTCACGTATCAATACATAATTTCACAATTTCCAAATATGGTATCTTAAGAAAATAAATTACAGACCTTACACAATCTTTTTGAGCTAAATATTATGTCAGATTATAGCATGACTATGGTTAAATACCCTGAATATTTCACAGGTAATAAATCAAAACTACTTAAAAAAATACCACTATTACCACATTAAATATCCTAAATCACAAAACTTAACAACTTTACAAGTACCTAAATGCTATATACTAAAGAAACTGTTCGCAGTGAAATTTTGTTCATAGTGTATTTAACCAGGAAAAAAAAAAACAAAAACGTTTATATTTCATAGATCTGTAAACCAATAACTGGAAGACTGAAAACATAACAAGATTCCATTATATTCAATACGTAACCATAAATGCAGTACAAGTAATTAAGAAATGTGGATTGCACGGTGTGTAAGTTACCAACTTGAGTAACTACTGGAAAAGGACTAAAAATGTAAAAAAAATCAAAAGAATATAATCTTTCATTTTCACGCATAAGTATTTTCAATTCAATCAACAATACACAGTTTCATGTCTCTCGTGTGAATCACTGTATAAGGACAGTATAAACAGAAAGGTGCTGGAAAATAATACAATTTCATTTATGCTGTTCTTATATAAAAACAACTGATCATTCAGATACAAACATATCCTGTGGTTGATCCACTTCACACTCACTTTCTTAGAGTCCTTAGGAACAACACAATCAGAAAATCTGAAACACAAATTTCAGATAACTTACGAAATAACACGATTTTAAAACTGAAGTAGAAGTTACATACAATCAATGGCTTGAAAACAGTATCAACAGCATCTTTTAAATGACCAATGAGAAATCTAGTTTATCTAGAGAAAGATAACTTTTTAAATAATCACGTATCAAACACTTTTGTTTATAGCGTAAAGTAACAATAAAATAACACGAAGTGCACACAGGCGAATGTTCAATAAATGAACATGGTTACTATCGAGTACAAAACCCACAAGGAATGAGCAGACATCAAATTGGGATCTAAGATGTAGTAAATGGACCATGAAAAATAACACGTCGCCCTATATCTGGTTGGATGATCGTTCACCTCTGCTGAGGAATGTGAACGTGAGGCCAGCAGCCAGCTACTCGGCGTTGGCTCTCAGAGGGCTGTTACACCACAGATTATTTATGAATTCTGCACTACCTTAGAAAATTAAATAAAAATTTAGATAAACACGGGTTTTCTGCCGTCATTTTCAGTGGTTCACTCCAATACTATTAGCACCCAAGAGCAGCAGCTCACCACTGTACAGTCTGAAAATGTGACAACAGATCACAAGAAGCAGATCTGAACCTGTAACCATTAACATTTTTTCTGGTACTTCTATGTTATTTTTAAACAATTAATGAATGTCATTCAATAAAAGGTTTTGGATTAGAACATTTATTCTACTTGCAAAATATGACCATCTTTCACCATTAAGAATCAAACTAGAACGATGTGAGATTCTCACAAGAACAAGAAAATGGCTGTCTCCTGAGATGTAGCACCATGTAGTCTGGTATATATTCAATAACTTTTCAGAGTAGCGTACTGCTTCTGACATCGATTAAATGTTGGTCAACTTCGTTATACATCCAAGAAGACAGCCACTGTCAATGTAGAATGAAATGAAATGTTTATAAGAAATAATTTTACTTACATTTTCAAAATAAAATAAAATATAAACCAGTCTACTATCACTCTGGTTACTCAAATCTTCTGCATCTGATAACTGACAGATAGTGCAGTACTGTAATCATTGCTCATTCCTGTAAGACTGTTCTGAAAAACATGTGCTCCCCTGTAAGTCATATATAATTAATGGAAAATGGCTGCCAGTGACAGCGAACTTGTCTCTGAAAGGATGAAACCAGAATCATTTAAAATTAGTAATTCAAAAGATGGAAGCCAAGCAAAAATTCAGATCTGATTAGTTCTTACATTCTCGCTACAAAGGATTTACCCTGTGTGCTCACTTTTCTACAAAAAATCCTTTCTGCTATATATCCAATTCATTTATCCATCAATTAATAAAATGTTGACTTATATACATAACGCATATAAATAGCATGCAGTAACTGGCAGGAACTAAACACATATGAGGAACAGACCATGTAAAACTACAAGGACATAAATAAAAATACACTGCAGTAGAGAAAATTAACACCAGAACTTACCTTACATTCAATGAAAATGGAATGCATATTTTATTGTTAGGTTATGTTTATCATAAAGACCGATATGTAGGCCTTACTAAGACCATGGACTTAATCATATAAAAAGTTCTATCTATCTCATTATATGTCTATAAATCTATGTTTAACTCTTATATAATAATGCATAACAGCGCACAAAACTTACAGCAAAACCCACGTATTGCGATATAATGGAAGAGTCCAAAGCATGAAAATTAAGTTACCATCTCGTAAGGAAATAATATATAAAAATGTATTTCATGTTGTTAACATCTGGACTGATAGTTAACAGATACATTTACTAATTTTGCATCCTGCTTGATTTATTATCACATCACCCTATTATATATAAATCAGCAATCAATTCAAACACAAATAATTATCCAAGCAACTTCTATGTTCAGTTTGTAGTCCCTCGGATTTAACGCGAGTTTAGAAAACTTAAAAATTAAACTTCATGACTTAGAATTGTTGTTATAGTACCCAATGAGCATTCTGACACCTTCCATTCCAAATAATGCACTGATTTTGAATCATTAATTTTAAGAACAGAGAAGAAAATTCACATACATAAAAAATCACAAAAAGAAGTCTAGAATGATAATGTACCAAACAGTCTGCAATTTTTCTAGCAACTCAAAATGTACAGTTGTAAAGATAAATGTAAATGGCTATAAAAATATCAATTCTCATTTGTTTTTGGTATGAGGTTAATAACATTACACAAATTAGAAACAATCTAACAGTATATCACTCTAAGCTAGATGCATTATGCTTAGAAATTATATTTACTTTATACATCTAGATGAAATAATTTCAAGAAACTAATTTTTAATTCAAAGAGAGCATACGGGTTAACAAAACAGAGTAGCTTGGTCGTTATATAGGTTTCAGTTTCCATTTATCTCTATACAAACATTTAACTGACATAAGAGCGACACTATCGCTCCTTTTTCCCCAAAAAAATGATGATTCTTAAAAGACGGGCTAGTGAAGAATGGATGTGGTGTCTGAACCAGAATTTAACTGCTCTAATTTTATGTTAAAAATAATCATGTGAGGAAAATTATATACATCGTGTAATAAACCAAAACACTGGAAATTACAGTACTACCAATTTGTAGAAATTGAAGGAGAATAATGCTTAACAGTTCAAAAACACAGACTGAAATTGAGCTGATAATTAATTTGTTGATACAAGTTACTCACAGTCTTCAGCAACATGTTGAAGAAATAATATATTTAAAAATATTCACACACAGCAGAACCAAAACACCTCTTTATAAAATTAAACACTTGCTCCTACGTGCCTGAAACTACAGTATTAAAAACATCTGGAAGTTACAGAAAAACCAGGTCATAACATCATTACTAAAACTAACCTGAAATTAAGACAAAAGGGAATAAATGTTGCAGATGCATAAAAGATGACCAACCTCTAGAATATTAATTCGCAAACAGGCTTGGCTGGACATGCAGCAAATGCTCCTTGTTTTACCAGCAGACAAAATACAGCGAAGAGACTCAAACTCTGCTAAAATTTGACTTTTGTAATTTATGTCGGGATAATCAGCAATATTCCTGGCATTAGAATCTAAAATTTAAAAAAATTCTTTAGAGTGGAAGTTTACATAAATATAGCATTTCTCGTGAGCACATATTTCTGTAACAAGTGATATATACATATACCAGTCCTAAAACAACTGCAGTAACTGTTAGAGCATAATAGATAGAACATACAATTAATTTTCTGCCAAGAAACATTTACAAAAGGGACAATAATATCCATCACTAAACTGGCTGTCCCTGTTTTATGGCATGATTAGTAAAGTATCACATAAAGAAAAGCTATCACATATGAAACAATATAATTAGTTCCTCTCATGAAATTCATTTACAACAGTAACAAGAATGTTATTTTATTTGTAGTGTTGTGTCTGACGACAGGTCCATATGAACAGGATCCTTCCATCCTTTTCTCGGACTGGGACCTGTTCATATACGTTCTTGGCAGATGATCCAGAAGTGGTTTGCCATTCCCTTCTTCTGTGTGTGACCACCGTGGCGATAACAAGAGTGTAAGACAACAAAATGACATATGAGCTTAAAATAAATTAAAAAAGTTGCCATATACAGTGGTACAGACATATGGTAATACAAAAAAGACTTTCTCATTTTAACACATGTACCTGACGACTAACATAATATACACTGACAAAAGAAAACAGCTAATCACTGATATGATTAATGTAACTGTTATGTAGGAAAACACAAGATATAACAAGAAACGTAAGTTTACGCAGCTGGAGAAACCAGTGTGACGATGGTAAGATGTACTGTATGTCCACACATCAAGAAGTGGACAAGTTTTCCGCACAATTCTGCAGCTATATATGGCACGTGGCATATTAAAACAACGTGTATGTGCTATGCTTCCGTGCATACCATATGCTTATACAGTGTGTCACACTTGATGTAGAACCAACTATCACGGCAGCATGCCACAACAGCAGTCGGTAAACTAACAAGAAATGAGCTGTAGTGACTGTAACCAAATTGAATGTTTCAAGGTCACAGTGAAAAATCATTCAACATTTCAATACAAACAGTGGAGCATAGGCAGGTGAAGACAGTTCAGAACTCACACTGCAGCAAAGCCATACAGTAAGGGGGGGGGGGTCATTCTGTGGTCTTAAAAGCAGGCAGTTTAGTGATGCTGGCTAAAGTCAAAACACAGAACACAGCCATCACGAGTTCTAAGTTACCTGAGAACTCAAATCTATTCAGTTTAGGGTGAACATGCGATGAAAACTGTGAGGAACAACAACACAGAACTATTCAAATTTTGGATCACGTTAAAAATATGACTAAAAGCTAATTATTTATAGACTAGTACTCATTTTATCCACACAATTCTGCAGTCTTGACGAGGAGAAAAATATCGTCACATCACGTCATTCCTGTTGCACGACATTAACACAATTTTCCTGAAAAACAATTTCCCTTCCTGGAAACCAACAGAAATAAAATTTCTTCATGTTGTAGTCAAATTCAAAAACCATTATAAAATTAATTACCCAGTAACTATTATTTATCACCTAGGTTTTGGAACAGGCTGTACAACTCTCATGGTCCAGTCTGCCATCCTGATACATCTGTATGATGTGTCATACTGATTAACTTCAATATGGCCACGTAAGAAATGAAAAAGGTCGATCATATGCCAACATTGCAGGGTCCAAGATGTGATTTAAATATGAATATATAATGTACTTTTTTTTTTACACAACGGAGATTCTGCTACTTACCAATAACAGGGAGTACAGAAGTGGAGATTCTGAATCCTTATATTATTTTTGATGTCATCATGACAAAGAAATAAATGTATCATTCCAAGAATTTTTCCATTAATTAATTAATTAAATACAAGTATTATTCAGCACTTTTGGGGTGTTTTAATATAACCTTACAAAATAGTTACTGCGTAGACTAAACAGAAAAACTATACCTTAAAACAGTGTTTCTCAAACTGTGTTTCACAAAACCATGGTGGTCACAAAGTTCCACACGGAAAAACAGTCTAATGGTACAGAAAATGATGTTTGATACAGACAGAAAATCAATTGAAATACACAGTTACGGTGCGCTGTTTGATTTGTTAATAACTGTGTACTGTTTTGTGACAGGTACGTCCATACTATAAGACTTTGAATACATCTCACACATTTCACAAAGATACACTTCTGCCAATTCAATATGTGATAAAAACAATTAGTATCTCGCAACACGAAAAAACTAAGTCCTTTCCAAACTGAGTTCTGGAGGATGTCAATAAACGTCACAGACTAGTATCCTACTCTGAACGATTTTTTGCTGAACAACAGAGTCAGATCAGCAACAATGTTTGTTCAGTCACAATTGAATATTCACAGTATCTTCATATTATTATTATATTATTTAGTGTTCTGTCTGACGACAGGTCCATATGAACAGGATCCTTCCATCCTTTTCTCTTCTCGGACTGGGACCTGTTCATATACGTTCTTGGCAGATGACCCAGAAGTGGTTTGCCATTGCCTTCTTCTGTGTGTGAATGGAGTAATTGTTGGGATGCCACGGAGAAACCGGGGAAGCCCCCGGAGGGAAACTAGACCACGGCCTTGCCCAACACAAGTTATAAATTCGGGCACCGCCGGGAATCGAACCCGAGACCCCAGGATTACAAGAACAGCGTTCCAACCGCTAGTGAAAGAATACTTCCCACCAGATTTTCGGTGCTTACGCAATCCATTTACGCTTCCTCTGGCAGGGCAACATTTGATGATATCTTCTTCTAGGTTTTGGAACCATGTAGACCCAACTGCAGATGCTTCAAAGAAATGCACATTAAAGATGGCCATCTTCTGAGTTGTAGAGCCTTGTATTTTGATAGAAGTTTACCAACATTTCAGATGTCTTTGATGCCTCCATCATCAGGGCAATGACGAAGGCAGCAACAACCTCTGCAGCATTGGCAAACTTGTATCAAAACACACAGTGCTACTGCTGCCATACTCACCACACTGAGAAACTCAAATCCTAAACGTACGTTGGCATCTACCGAGTTTACACGGTGCCAATACCCAGAACGTCATCATCATCGCCACCATGAAAACCTCAAATCTCACAACGTAATGGGGAAACAACTGATATTAAAAAAAAATGCGGGTTTGAAAGATGCAGTAGATGATGCAGAACACGACATCAGGATAATTTCCTGACACCGTACCTGACATAAAGGCCCTTGGGACAGAAAGCAGATTCACCCTTCACATTATGAAAATACAATATACACAATTTCCCAAAAAAACCAAGATTGATTAATATGAACCTTTTGCAACTATTACGATCATTAAAAAACAACTTTAAAAATATTTGTGCAAGGGTTCTACGAAAATATTTAACTTCCAAAAATGTACTAAATGTGCTAAAAGGCTCGAGAAACACTGCCTTAAAATATCCCGCTACATTTCTTTAAAGGAAGTGTAAATAAATATCACAAATTAAATCTTTACGTGCAATAATCAACTGTAAACAGAACTCCACTCACAAAATTCTAAATAAAAATGCTTAGCTCTTCATGTGTACGAGACAAATGTGCCAGCAACAACCATATCACATTACAATTCTAATTTTGTGATATAACATGGACAATAAGAACATGGGCTTTGCATTTTATACATTAAACGGACACTACCTGTTAATTCAGTCTTGGTGGATAAAAGTATGAGACATCATCAGACTGTTACCGGTGCGACCCCTTTATTAATTTTGCCCCTACTTACAACGTCAAATCACATAGACCACCTCCCAGCCATTGTAACAAAGCATTCGTGTCTCTTCTTGCCACGGTGAAGTACTTTGAAGGGCGTAATGATCCCATCAACACCAGGAGAAGAAAGGGCTTTTGTTCTGGAAGCGTTGCGTGAAAGTATCGCTGAAAGAACGGAAGCGTGACGTTGTACCTACATGACCTTTGGACCTGGAAATACAAACAAGTGGAGGGAAAAGTTTGGGAGCACCGTAAGTTCGCCCTGTGCTTAATTAAGCACCAAGCCATGAAGATGTATGGGGGAGTGAAGGGATAATGACATGCATTCTTAACTTTGGCACCAGATGGAGATGAACTGCAAGCCCACACTTCAGTTGCTTTGCCCCAACAGAGTGAGCTGTTAGTACCCATTGGATAAAAGGCTGTATGTGGCAGCAATAAGAAAAATTCCTACCCCTGCCCAGAACTGAGCCCTGATCATTAAGCACATAACCAATCACTACAGTCTGAGCTATCGAAACTCACACATTGTAAGCGAAGTGCTTGAAACAGATCCAAGAGGACTGTGGAAAACTTATCCTACATCCAGTCATTTTTAATCAAGTTCAATTTCAAAACTAAATGTTAATATTCTTATTCTTCTTCTGGTGCCTTGACCGTTATCGACAGTCGGCGATTATGATTTTATTTACAGCTGCACAGAAAAGTTGTACTGTGGACTGCCCAAACACAAGAAACATTAATAATTTTAATATAATTACATTTGTTTCGATGCATAGTGCTCCACGGCCAAATGATTAGTCACCATGATTTATCCGTGACATAATCTCGGTTCATCTCATATAAAAATCAATTATTCCTTTCCTTTTACAAAGCAGAAATAATACCTTTCCACAATGACAGCGGGCATCTGTACGAGCTGCACTGGACTCCTCCCATCCTTAAGCGCCTGCGTCAGATTGAGTATCTGCCCTCTCATTACGCTCATCTGCCTTTCAAACATGTGTCGATCAAATCCTTTATCTTGCTGAAATTTAAAACGAAACCAGAATATGCTTTAAAATGTATTAAAAATTGTATATAAAAATAAAAGAACCTCTCAAAATCCACTCTGCACACAATACAGAACACACACAATTTGTAATCTTCACGACGTGTTAGAGTGACGAAATATAGTAGAAAAGGATGGACAATATGTAGCACACATTGAGGATATAAGAAATGCATTAAAATTTTTGTCAGAAAACCTGAAGGGAAGCTATTGTCTGGAAGACACAGACATCCACAGGATAACAATAACGTGAATCTTTTTTAAAGAGAGAGAGAGAAAGAGAGAAGGGTGTGAAGTTGTGGACTAGATTCAATTGGCTCTTGAGACATGGTAATGGGTGTTCAGCTTCATAAAAATAGTAAAACTTCTGTACCAGCTGAATGGCTAGAGAAAGTTTATTTTCCATGAAATAAGTTACTTACCGCTAAATACTAAAACCCTTTGGGCAACTGATATATCAATTTTTTTTAAAAAAAGAAAAGTATTTAAAAAAAAACAAAGATGGCTGGCTGTTTTCTAGGTTGTTGTCTCATGTAATCATCAGCCCTGAAGATGGTGACAGCAAGTATCTCTAGAATGTCGGTAAACTTCTACTATCAAAGAAGATAGTGATCTACAGAAACAGACCAGATTTCCAAAACACTGTTTTCTTTTCACAATACCAGATGATGGACAAAATCCAGAAATCCAATATGGTCGGCGCAGTAATTTTTGGCCGGTGGAATTTTCAAGGGGAAGGCTAGGAGCGAGTCACTTGTGCGATAGTATAATGCTGACTGCACCGAGGAGCTTATCGGACTGAATGCCCAAACAAAAGAAATACACTGACCTTGCCACCTGGGGTACACAGAGTACGTCCATCCGTCAACTCCGCTAGCTTCTCCACCTGCCAAAAACTACTGCGCCGACGATAACACTAAGTATAACACACCATCATCAGAAACGTTCAGAACCGACACATACTTCATTCATCACCAATAAAATGAACTGACCTTAAACAGTAAATAAAGATCATCACAGAGGTCCTGGACAAAGTTCATATCTGAGAGCTGAGGTAAGACGAGTTCCCGCGTCTCCTTGCTAAACGGAACTTTAGCTTGGGGCAGCCATGCCCAGTGATATGGATAAGCTCTCCATGAATCAGGATGTTTGAACGGAAACGCTAGACCATTGTCGATCGCTGCAATTGAAATCTCTGGATACTGTACCACGTTCCAATCCTGTTAAAAGACGTCTCACTGAATTTATTAGCGTCTCACCATTCATCCTGAATTACAAATGAATTCAGTTTTATATACACAGGCACAAACTTTAATGCTATACGGTGGTGACGACAGTAAAGGACATTCATTATCATACGACAAGAACATCAAGAAATGCAAATGGAAAATCTGGGCAGAAATGGAAAGACAAAATTAAAATGGATCTTAGAGAACCAGGGAGTTCATGTGCAGAATTAATCCAAGTGGCTCTGGATATAGTCCAATGGAAGGATTTCATAAACAGAGTAATACACCTTCGGGACCCATAAAAGCAGGAACCTTCTTTATCAGCTGAGTGACTACTGACAAAGATCCTAGGGCACGTAGTTAGATAATATAATTAATTTGGCATTTGTCGATACTATATTGAAGTACAATTTACCAAATATCAAAATGTAAAATAGAAATTCAATCAACGTAACCTTACACACCGTTGCATCCTCTAACTCGCCACCGGCATCAGTAGTTGACCGAATGTTCGTCTGATCGTACTGGATAAGCCAGTTATCATTACCCCGATCGGTGTTTCGTATGATATAATCAAGCACTACTAGCCGTTCGAACTTCAGCTGAAAATCTTGTTGCACCTTCGCTGACAAAGGATCTACTTCAAACCTTCTTAACCAGTAGTCAGCGTCTTTATAACCAACTACAAACAACTGAAACGATCCCACCTAGAAGACAGAGAAAGATAATTAGTTCACAGCTGCGAATATACAATCAAATTACGAACTCTGTTGAGATTTCAGGTTCTTACAGTGGCGAGTATAAAGACGACTGTCTTACGCAATGTTGCACCGTGTACTCTGGTAGATATTGACTGGAGTTTTAGCGATACTTACGCCTGAATCATCAGGGCAACCAACATCCCAGAAGACAGTCATCTTCAAATTATAAACTCTTGAAGACTATTGAAGTGGTAGTTACCTATTGAAGTATTCAATTGCTTTGCAGTTCTCCAATTTTTAATTAAGAATTAATGTTTTCTGCCAAATTTACAAAGTGAAGGAATCCACTTCTGAGGTGGGGAACCATGAGGCACTTTTCACACGTCTCTACACCACGACAGGAACGTGGTATTATTCGCACTGCCAAAGTCTAAGCTTTGACACAGATGAATGCTTCTATCACCACAAATCCACATATAAATCTGATCGAGGAATAAAGATTAAGTAAGCGAAAACTCGATATTACCTTTGGCCTTAGACCAATTCTATTGAAACGCCTGCCAACAGTGGGGAACTGATCCATAATGGCACGCTTCACCCGCGCCTTCTCTCGATCAATCCGCGGATAGTTGAACGTCTCACTTACTAGTTTCACCACCTATTCAACATAGAAATATTCCGACAGTCACGTATTTCATATCTAAGACGTCAAAAGTGAGTGCGTAACAATATTTTTTTTCTTGACTGTACGTAGATACATTCGAGTGACACGGCTACATCAAAACTTATAAAAATGAATGCTAATTTACTTTAGTCATTCAAAAAACATAATCACAGTTAAATGATCTGCATTGTCTTCTGAAAAGACTTTATTTTCTTGATTATACTTCTACTGCGAACACTGATATATAACTTTCGTAGTTCTGGTAAACTGATAATCCAATAATAAACCCATCATTATCGTCATGGCTGACGTTAAGAGAGAAACTTAGTCTGCAGTGCCTTGAGAACAAATCCTCATAAAGAACTACTAAAAATAATTCTTACACCTTCCTAAATCTTCCTAAGATTTTTCCACATTATGTGGGTTGTCTGTATTTTAAATATTTTAAATTATAATATTTATAATACATTTTGTTAAAGGACCCAAAGGTGTACATATACTGATAAATATTCCATGCGACGTAGAAAACACAACCATATCTCTCCATGCTTATCCAACCTTAACTCACAGGTAGTTTATCTTATCTGACGTTACAGTACATATAAGTGTTTCGCCCACAAACTTTCTCCGTGGTTTCAGTAGTAATTTACATTTCACTTCTAGAAATGCTTTCATCGTCTAATTCTGTGTTGAAAAAATTCACACTGCCACAGGAAAAATACAGAAACAGACATTGATGTATTTTTGAAATACTGCCATTAACGAGGCAATATGTGATAGATAAGAGAACAGTTTTCAGTCATAAGTAGTCGTAGAAGTTTGGGTAGTCTCATAAAGTAGTTCCCTAATTCTACTCAACATCCAAACAACTTTTATCAACCTACACTCTTAGTGGTAAAAAACACTTGAAATTGTGTATCTTTTTGAGCCCCATAACACATGAAACCACAAAAAATTTCTTGTTGCTTTTAAGTTTACCAAATACAGCATGAAATTTATACATAATTACGACATTCTTAAAGCATTTATGCTATATATTTATTTTTATAATTAATGAGAGGATGTAATATAATAATTAGACTGTTGTTCTGTGACTAATAAAAAATCTGTTATACTGAAGACAGCTGATTACAGACGTATTATTTCTGGACCCCAACTGCTGAAATACTGAGCATCCACTCTTAAATTGCAGATGTACACACAGAATTAAAGGTACATTTACTGGAATTAAACATACAGACACACACACACAGCATATTTATAGAAACAGTAGAATTTACCGCAAAATATACCTCCATATTACCATCTGTCTCCTAATCCCAAACCTAAGTTACTTGTATCACAGTGAAAACAAATTTGATGATTCCTCAAAACTGTAAAAACTTTGATAATATAACCATCTATAACCAACAAATTCTATGGGAAAAAGTCTTTCTTAAGAACCTGAAAGTCACTAAGCTACTCAAAGAATTCCCTCGTTTTATGAAAACTTAAAGTTCAATGCCATATTCATATGAGGGCAGTGGACCCCCATCCACTCTATGCCTAGTTTTTCCACGTGGCATCTTTCAGACAGTAACATGTCTTCTTTAATTTTTGTCTTACCACTATTTAAATATAGGCCTTATGAAAAAGAAATATTATTTTGAAGTCACATGTACCTTTGTTTTGGGAACAATTTTAAGTTGTAGCTTCTGATCAACTAAACTGGCTCCAGCCTCTGAAAGATATCCCTGATTTGGTATGAGGCAAGACCTGCCGAAACAACATGGACAACACAGCTTATGCATCCATTTGGTCCATTTGGGGTTCAACCGTCCATATGGCTCTTCATTCTTTGGCTTAAATACGGCCACAATTTTCTGTAAATACAGGCACACATTACACCATATTAAATCCAATCATGTCAAACACGTTAATTTTACACTACAGTAAATTGTCAGATAGCAATTTGACTAAATACCTGACACCATTAACAATATATAAAATCAACAAAAAATATAGGCACCTGTAATTTTGGCATATTGAAAACAAAAACAATATTTTTAAAACAAATAACACAACTGAATAATACTAACCCCTGTAGGATTTTTAACAAAATAACTTCCACTGGATCCTTGGGATATCCTTTCTGGAAAAATTCCAGTATCTATGGCAACTTCAGTTTGCCGTACCAGATCACAAAACAGAGGATCATCTGTAATACATTCACATATTAAATCGAACTCGCACTGCATATTCTTGTCCCTTAAATTGAAGTGTTGTTAACAACAGACTGCTTCACCTTGACTCTTACAAGCCAATATTCTGCAAAGTATGGAAGGCAACCAGCTGTGAACACACGCTTATGTGGCATACATTTAAACAGCACCTATGTAAATACAAACATGTGGCAGCACAGTAAAATGTACGTTTATCACTTTCTTATCATTCATACCCACCTGAGACGAGCTAACTGATAATTAAAACAGCATTTCATTGTTCTTTACCTGGAAAGTTATTGAACGTGACATCCGATTCCATCCGCCCTAAGAGCGGCTGGTTCTCACGATTGACTCTTGGGGAATCTATTGTGCCTCCGTTATTAGAACCCGGCGCAAAGGCCACTTCTGGAAGTAAGGAAACTTCGTCTGATACTCCGGAAGAAGAGAGAGAAGCTACTGAATTCGTTCGTATCTTATCTTCAGATATAAGTTGTCCTTTGAGATGAGTTTGCTCTTCGGTCATTGAGGGAACCCAATGAACATGTAAAATGTTTATCGACTGAAAAACAGTGCTTATATAAAATGTACCGTAATATACGATTATACCTAACAACAAAACCAGCTGTAGGCACAAACGGCCATTACGAACACTCAGCCACAGTCACATGGTTTTCATCGATACGCACATAGATAATACCAACATGCGCGTGTAAGATGGCACTACTGAGGTCCGGGATATATTCTGAGAATTCTTCGTGGCATTTATTATAGTATAGTACACAAAATTGCTTTCCTTGTTCGTGTCATCATAAAATAAGGAGCTTAAAAACAGTTACTAACCATGATAAAGTTTTGGGAACCTCATTGTATTGTTCGTGGACAGCACAGTAGATTGGGAATTGAACATAATTCATAACGGCTAATTTATTTCTAAGTCAAAAAAGTAAAGGCAATTTTTCCAAGCCATTGTGGACAGGGAGGAATATACAAAAAGTGAGGTTATTTCTCCCATTTGGTATTTCAAATTTGTAAAATATGGCAGCACACAAACACGACGACTTTCTGTAATGCTGACAGGTGCAACAACTTCGGATTTATAGATATGCAAAATAGTCTAAGGGCTGCCAACGTCACAAATTTTACACTTTTATAACCTGTGAGATTTCACGTTCTCATGGCGGACAGAGTTGTCGGTTGTCGCACCGTGTAGTCTGGTAATGTTTACCGACGTTTCAGAGGTGCTTGATGTCTCTATCATCAGGTCTCTGATGACTACATGGTGCAACATCCAAGAACACAGCCATCTTTGTTTGATATCCATTCAATGCTGGACAGGAGATTTGTTAATGTGGGTCCAAAGCATATCTCGATCACTACTCTCAGCTAATATAAAAACATGTAAACAAAGGTGGTTATGCTTTCTTGCGTAATTATTTTTGTAATAATACTGTAGTTGACTGTAAATTACTGCCATTATTATATAATTTATATTTGTATTAGAAACAAGTATTGTATTTGTGTTATGACGTACATCCTTGGCTTGGGCGTAAGAAGGATCTATGGAATGAAAATAAATTATATTCTATTCCTTCCCATATCCAACCTAAAACAATTTTCCTTGTTTATACACAGGTGTGAAAATTGTCTATCACTTTAAGGAAAGAACATACATTGAGGGAAGGATTTTAGGTCTTGATAAAAGTGTGTGTTTAGATCGTGGTCTGCCTACGTCCATTATCAAGCTCAATTACTGACACGTAATATAAAATAGGAATTTAATGTAACTGATCAGATGGCATCAGGATTCAGGGCATTTAATGGAGTAGCAAAGGGTTATTATATAAAATGCACTCGGTTAAGTTTTATCTTTTCATACTTTTACATGTTACTCGGTACATTACTAAGAGATAATTTGTTTTATAGTCTATTTATTTAGATGTGCTGTTTATTTTATTAGTACAAATACAGAGAACTGGATAATTGAAAAGTTAACCAAGTTATTTCCTTGTGGGTTTCTGCAGAGACGTAAATATTTCTGAGTGATGTTTATCAAGCAAGATTGATTTTAAGGCACTGTTATTAATATTTAATTAGAAACAAAACAAAAAAATTGATAAAATCTTCTCAGGAAAGTATCAATTCAGATCAGGAGTCTAAAATTTCAGAGAACATCTCTGTTTCCATCATCAGGGAGAAATGCGATGGGCGGGACTTATTTGTTGCTCGTATACATAATTTATTCTCCTTACCATGCGGCAAACAGCATCACAGAAACTCTAACTGACGCTGCTGGTCGCCCATCAAGATTTATCGTAGAATTTAATTAACTTAATGCGATGCATATTTGCTATAAGTCATTACTGTCAACAAGTTCTTGTACCAGATCAGCCATTTTCTGCTGACAGAGCTCGCTCGAGGTGCTGACAGGTAGGGCGTTGGTGACACCGTCGTAACCCACGTACAGGTCTGGTGCCTGATCTGAGTCACAAACTGAGATTGGAATCATGTCCAAGGCCAGACCTAGTCCGTACTTTCCACACCGATGAATTTCTTCTTGTATCCTAACCTCAAAAAGATAAATATTTGTTAAGTTTTATGTACAAGTATCAGACTTAAAACTTCTCACACCGTCACAACTAATCACATTGAAGATAAGGACGACTGTCTTCTGGGTTGTTGCTGATGGAGGCAGTAAGCACCTCTGAAACGTCGGTAAACTACCAAGACTGCACGGCGCAACAACCCAGAAGAGTGCTCAAAATGTTTTAAAATGTATACAAATTTAAAATACGTCGCGGACGGACAGTATCGGGAAAAAAAATGACGTTAAAAGAACTGAAGAGAAATATATTCGCAAAAATACAACAAAATCAAAATTTTGAACTGAGAAACTTTGTTATTACGTGCAGAGATTTTTGATAAGGAAATTCTAAGATTGATAAATGCGAATGACAAATGGCGATCTTGGATTTTAACGTACATTTGCCACAGGCAGTCACGATCTAAGATATCGGATTTGAGGTCTGTGGCTTGTTGTGTCAGCTCTCTCAGCGCCTTGTTCAGGGCAGCGTGGTAATCAGACAGCAAATCAGCCATGTGATTGAGTCGCGTTTCCCTCGACGTGCAGCAGTAGAGGAGGTTAACAATGTCAAGAGCTGGAGACCCGTATCGCGCAAGTTGGAAGTCTACCATACACGCCTGGCAAACGACAGCAAAACATACGATAAGAGGAGACACACCGTAAAATTTTTTGGGTTGGTCCTAATATGACAAGACACACAGACTAGAGTGGAAAATCCCCTTTCATAACACGCGTATTATCCGAAAGTTGCTGAGAAAACCTAATGGAGATTCTTAAGAATGTTTATTATGGATTGGATTACTCCACACGTGTCAAACTTACATGCACTAGAACCTGTTTACGTACCGAAAAAATTGGAGAGTTTCTCTTTATTTTGAAGTTGATTTCATGTCTCTATCTTGCTTTGTTCCAAAACTATGACTGTTTGTTACCCCACAATTATTTTACGAACACACTGTATTATAAATGTTAATCGTAATAACACAGCCTCACGTTCGTAACTATTTTCCCGAAATTAAAAGCCTGGGTACCTAATAACATGGGGCAAAGTCCTTCAGAAGCTGATAGTGGCCTTGTCATTAAGAAATCCCGCACTTTCTATAGAATCCAAAGGTTAATTACAATGTTCACGAGAATCTGCCACCGGTATCTATCCTCTACACCCTACTAGGGTCCATTTTAATATTATCATCTTATATACACTTTGGTCTTTGCCCAGTGGTCTGTGCCCATCAAACAGAAATTCTGTGTGCATTTCATCTTAAAAAATTACAAAACCTAGTCCATGTGACCTCACCTCAAGTATTTCTCCATCCTCAGAGTAGCGGAACAGAATGTTGTTGGTCCAATAATCTCCGTGACAAAGAACTGCGAGTGGTTCTTGCGGCTTTACCAGCAAAACCATTCGCCCAAAGAACTCGCTATCGTCGACGAAATCTCTGAACTTATCTACGTACCTAGTTCCATCGCCGAATGCTTCGCGTACCTGAAATCAACAAGTTCTGTTACCAGAGAGTTAGTTAGTTAGTTAATACAAGATTCTCCGATTGTCTCAGGTACATCAAAAAGGAAGAGGCCATTTTGGAGACACAGAAGGGGACCATGTAAATATTAATGCGATATTGTAAATATAATGCAAGCTGACCATGGTCAGGGCGTTCCGGGTCACAGCATTATAGTAGCCCCGGTACCAATCCTCGTTTTCCGGCACAAACAATGCTTCCTGCACAGAGGCAACGACGCTGGAGGCGAATTCTTCAGGGCGACAGAGTTTCATGGCTAACGATAAGGCATGTAGACGGGCTAACTCTCGCATCGCTGCCTTGCAGTGGTCAGCGTCCAGCCCTGCCTTGCGGTCCGTCATCACGAACCCCCGAGAACACAGGTCTTCAAGAACCAGTTCCGTGTCGCAGGCCCGGTAACACCGCGGGGCTGCACGGAATGGGGTAGAAACGTCGCGGGATGCCTGTTGAGACAAGGGAGTACAAGAGGAAACTCATGTAAAACATCGGAACGGTTCAAAGTCCTTCACAACCGACCATCAGTATCTGTCGCACGTAAACATAGGTTATAATAAGGAAACCTCTGTTTCTTAAACTAAGGGATATTCCTCGGCTATTACGATTAAGTATCTCAGAAAATCGATCTATAGAAACTTTCCTTCGAGCGGTCTTGATCATGGACATGACTGAGTCAAGGGTTCGATTATAATTACTCATCGTTTTGGTTAATAAAGTATTTGTTAAATCTCCTGTACCGACCCCGGGGCAAGGCTTCAGTCGGGAGTACGATATCCAACATAAGTTACGTTTTCTTTGAGGTACGGATTAAATTTGTGGAATTCAGACGAGATATTAATATAAAATTTTCACCAAAATTCCGTCCTACGAAAGTTAATATCAAAATTTAACATTTTTCACGAATAAGTTAAGACTACTCAACGTCTCTTCTTGATCCAATTCTCATCTCTCTACTTAGGATTAGGTCGTGCAAATAATTAGCGACCCCCACCTGAAATTCCAGCAACACAGGCAGCGTCTTTGTATAGAATGCCACCTCATTTCTGAACAAAACATCCGATTTGAATGCTTGGCGTCTAACAGGGTTATCTGGTAGACACTTGTAGATGACAGAACTCTTCCACGGCTTTCCTTCCTGATCCGTGCCCTTTACTCGAACCCGGTAGAGCATAGCGGTGTAGTTGTCACCACGCCCCGATCCCGTGGCAACCTGTGACAGACGTTTCGGAAGACAATCACCTTGCTTACTCTGTCAAATCATTCCAGCGTACAAAATCTATTGCTTGAACTATAGAACAGTATCTTATAGTAGGATTTGAGGTTTTCGTGGCGGTGAGTCTGAAGATGGCTGTCTTCTGGGTTGTAGCGCCGTGAATCATCGCCCTGATGATGGAGGCAGCAAGGACCTCTAAAACGTCGGTAAACTTCTACCAGACTACACGTCACAACAACCCAGAAGACAGTCCTCAACAGTGTCTTCAATTTATAACTTGGGATAAGTTTACGATAATGGGATTACTGTCTTACTTGAGGGCCTAGTGGTCAGTCTAAGAGCCATTGCTGATGGTGGTAGGATGATCGCATCAGGCAATTTGTCATTTTAGAATGAAACTTTGGTTAGGTTAGGTTGTCGGGGGGGATGAACCCAAGAAAGTTGAGAGCCTCTGCGGCTAGAGGGGATCACTTTGACTGAAGACCACCATGACTGGGGTAAGATCCCCGCGCCCCCTTGAACGGTACACACTGCAATTTGCCTTATAACTGAGGAAAATTTCCGTCAGGGTTATTTATCAGGGGAGATTAAATGAAAGGTCACAGCCATATATGCAAGAACCTAGGTTTTTTTTTAAAACGAACCCAAGAAGTTGATAGTAAGCTCAGGTCGTGAAGAAATCCAGTGTCTTATGGAACCTGAATTTCAGTATCGTTTTCGCAAGAATCCGCCACCGGCCCCTAACCTGAACAAGACGAATCCAATCCACATCATTCCACGCTATTTATTTAACAGCCGTTCAAAAATTACCCCTCCATCGACGTCTAGGTCTTCCAAGTGGACACTCACCTTTCGTGTTCGGTCTAAAATTATGTAGACAAGTATCTGAAACATTGAACATTCACAAAATTTTTGGTACGAACATTACGAGCGGCAGCTATTAAGGCCGTGCGTACAGGTTTTCTTCAGTACCTACCTCAAAGGACGTGACGGAAACGTCGGATTCAGTTTCGTCGAAAACTTTCTGCAAGAATCCCAGAGTCAAGTTGCGTGGGGCCGTCGTCGTCATGGCAGCCACCCTCCACATCCACGATTACGCTGTCAACTGCTGTCAGACCGACGAAGCAACACAGGAAGACGACACTTTATAAAAGTTAATTCAAAGTGGGGGCGAGACGAAAATGAATTTTCAATCACGTTGGAAATTACGTGGGGCGGGGGGAGGGATTCCCCTTCACCTAGAGAAGGCAATGGTTAGCGTTAATTTAATTACATGCGTCGAGGAATGTGCATATTAAGTTATATTTTCTTTCGGAGTGGTAGTTACCGTATTAAATAAAGATCTATACACACAAATCTACTACAAATGCCCATGATAATATCTTAATAGGCAATCTACATCATTTAATACTATTTATTCCACACGCGTTTGAATATAAAGTATTTTATCTCATTTATAAAATCGTTTCATGGACTAAACTGTGACGTAATCAAATGAAACGTAGTTTGCAGTCATAAGGTACAGTTTTACGGATATAAATCACTTGCTATTCTATTCCTGGCATTACGAAGTAACATTTCTACTAGAGAAAGGACATACACGTGTTAATATACTCTTTAGTTGTGGTTTAATTAAGGACGTTAAAACAGTAGCTTAGAGTATACACGCGTCGTCGAATGATAATTTGGTTAATAAGTATTTAATTAGAAGAAATGTGGCGAAGGCCTCTTTTAAAGTACTCCATCCTCAAGATTTATTTCAGAAACGCTTACAGCTCCAGAACGGATACATCCGAATTTCTTTGCTGAAACTAGGAAGGGATTCTAGAAAGGTAAAAATCCCGAAAAATCTCCTGGATTCGATTTCATAAATAAATAAATACATTTTTCCCCTTACGATATTCAACACTGTGTATCGAATAACCACGCCTATAAGCCTTCAGTATATTACAAGATAATTGACTGATTAAACTTCGTGTACATAAAGCATTATAACAAAACAAAATATTACCATTACTCATTTGTTTCAAGACGTGTTTACAAAACAAGGAAGAATTATAAAATAAAATTCTCCCAATTGTTTATTACGAACCACATCAAGGAGATGTACTGAGCAACGGAAGTCTACCTCTGCTAATTCTTGACTTCTGCCCTAGATGGAGTTGAAGAGCTTACGACATCCGCTACATAATGGGCCGATCATTTTTGTGTTATTACACACTTTATGAATCCAATTTGTTACCTGCAGCTGATATATTGTTAATTTTTTTAAAGAACCACCATCTTAGTTGTTTTGACAGCCTACAGGTAACTAACAAACAAACAAACTAACTCGCTGGTAGCAGAACTCGCAGGTCCAACACCGACAACACCAAATCCCGCCACCGAACACGATCGTGGACAGGAAAATATGAATAAACACACAAATTTTGGTGTTGAATGCACATGTTTAATAAAAGATCTAATTATTCGGTGCAATGAACGATGGAATAATTTCGCCTGACAAACTTCAACATTACAATACGCTTAAGAAGCTTTACATCACGTTGAAAGTTATTTGGTCTCACAATACAAAATTTGTACTTTTCACCAGATATTAAGACGATAAAATGGAGGAGAGGGGAGGGGGATGTCGGAAAAGCACGCAAAATTTTCGTTGAGAAATTATAAGAAAGTGATTATCTGGGAGACGTAGATGTAGACGGATGGTTACGAAACATAATAAGGTCCAGAAGCTGTTTTATGTGAAGATGGTTATGAACTTTTGGATTTCGTAAAAATATAAGGAATTTCTTAACCTCAGGGACTATTAGGTTCTCAAGGACTTAGTACACGCTGAGGATAAATAACGTTGAATGGAACCTGAAAATGAATTTTTTTTTATGAAAAGAAACACGTAACACTAATTTATTTTAAGGTTAACAAATGAAAAAACCAATGCACAGGAAACATACCTACTAAAACACTTCACGTAGAGGAATGTATTTTGCAGGTCAGATCTCGAAGTCAAGAGATTCGTGGAAAGAATGCAGTGCTGCCAACAGCAATTCAGCTGATGGGCAAATATTCGAAGACGAGAGCTGGGAAGAGTCGATCTCCGTCTCAGAAGATTAATTCCAGAAGTACAGCCCTCCACAAAAGTTCTTTCGTGTTTATTTTGTTTTTCTAATAAGGGTGCAATGAGGGATCAGACGTATCATTAAAATCTGATCAACATTTCATTACATTGATCGTATTTTGTTCAATCGTTCTTCTAATCAAAGTTACTCTCGTGCGCGCGCACACAACACACGTAAAGTCCGACTACACTGCATCTAAAGACGTTTCTAACCTACGAGACGGTTTTGTCTTCAGCAAAATTAAAAGTTCACGATTTGTTTCAAGTTTGTAGCACATGAGGTTCAACATGTTTCCAGTTTCTTGGTCCCTTACTGTTTTCTTCCGCATTCAACAAATGTGCCACTAAGTTTCTTGGTCCCTGACTGTATTCTTCCGCATTCAACAAATGTGCCACTGTGCAGTTATTACGAAACAAAACATGCAACAACAATACTAATTTAAAATCTTTCCGTCAGTCCATAGGCACATTAACAATTACACTAAGATAATACTAAGAATATTTATCACGTTTTATCATCTAAGCATTTGTCAGTTCTGTTTTAAATACTTTTAATTACATTTATAGAAACACGAGATTCTAACCTAACTTTTTCCCATTTTCTGCGTTTAAATAATCTCTTCCTGTCATGTTCGTTAAAAATAATTGTTATAAAATTCATTTGATTGTTACGACACTGATTTTATATTGCTTTTAAAACGGTGATTAAAACTTTGCTTCATAAATATTTAATCGTTTAACTCAGATAAGTTGCTCTGTTCGGTGCAAAGGTCAATCAATGGCCCCCCCCAAGCAACGCGAGTGGCCATAACAGCTTCAAAATGTTCCACGAAGTAGAGCGACGTCCATTTTGTGACGTCTCAATCTTCACGTAACATCATCAAAGCAATAAAGCCAGCTATATAAAATGCACAATGGCGCTATTTTCCCGATATCTGTGGTGTCGAGTTATTATTTGACACGTCATCTTCTGGCATTTGTACGCCCAGTCTTTTGAGATCTCTCAGAGGTGGGAGAGGCCTCTTTGGCCACGTTCGAACAGACTTAAGACTTGAAGAATCATGTTGTAATCGCTCCAACATTTGGATATCTGGATAAATACGCTGTTCTACCCACTCCGCGATGGTAAAACTATCGAATACGTCATCCAAAGCTTCCCTTGCTGATCGAGCCAGCGTTGTTAGAGTGTGGTACACCCGGGGATGCTCTGCCATGAGTTCATCAACCCTCAAAGGGCTTGAAAACTTCCTACGCATATTATAATCAGTCATCCAACCCTTGGACTTTGTAACAGATTCGATAAACTCCTTAGCTTCGATCTCTGCTGCATGTAGACGATACGTCAGTTTGAAAAATGGGGCACCTGGAAAGAAACAACGACCGATTTTGTCCCAGAGGTAAGGGTCGTTGTTGAGGTTAACGATGGATTCTGCGTGTGTCGACGAGTAACTGCTAGTCCGCGAACATCCCAGACTGGACTGAAGTTTATTCTTCAGCGACTGGTTGAAGTAACCATGACTTGTGGCCAGTAGGTTGACAGCTAATGAGGGCACAGCTGCAGGCAGCAGCTCACACAATACTGCAAAGTGATCGTATCTGGAAGAAGGAATTAGACATTTCATTTCGTCAGAAAGGAACATACCATTGCACGTTGCAACCAGTAATTTGGATGCATCAGCGGTCACCTGACTTTCTTTGCAACCCTGACCTGGCACTCCGGTTAATAGTGCCCAAAATTTAGGGGCCACAATTAAGGATTTTAATCTGATATGTAGATTTAAAGATGGCCACCGCACGATAAGGTTCGTACACGTAAACATTTGTGAAACGCAAATCCCTATTCAGAACTTTTCGAAACAAGGAGATGCTTTATCACCATTGCTTTTTAAACTTTTCTTTAGAATATTTCGGCGGGAAAGGTAAAAAAAACAAGGTGATAAAAATAAATGGGGGCACATCTGGTGACTTTTAATTTATGGGGACCAAAAAAATATAAATAAAATAAAGACGACCAAGCAGCTCAGTTAGATGCTAGAAATAAGTTAAGTTGATCTGCACATAAATGCGGAGAAAATAAAATATACAAAAAACTATAATTTCACTTGCTGTGGAACTTTGTCTTATACATTGAAGCAGCAACAGAGATTAGGGGTGTGTAGTACATGTACGGAAAACAAGAAATACACACAAAATTTTGGAATCAGATCCTAAAAGGTAAGACGTCACTAGGCGTATTATGGGAGGACAATATTAATACGGATCCTAAGACAATAAATTGTGTAGATATTGATTGGTTTCATCTGGCTCAGGATATGAATTGGTGGTTGGCGCTTCTGAACACGGTAATGAAAGTTCTCAAGTTTTATAAAAGACGGGAAGGACTTTGTTGCACGGAGGTGGATACTTAATTAAATGATTACGACAGGCGAGGAAAAGAGTAATAAAACGTGATGGGTTGTTAATCTGGATTGTTACACGCCGAGCCGAGGCGCGGCGCCACTAGTAAGCAGTGCAACCAACACACATTTGATAACAAACTGAAGACGCCACTCGTTGCACTGCGGACTGTGCATGAACAAATCAAACAAAACAAGACCTTTACACGCATGCGCAGAGAAGTCTGAAACAAAACACGAAAACAGTGTAACAACGCCTCTCGCGGCTAGCGTATTAAACACGAAAACAGTGTTCCAACGCCTCTCGCGGCTAGCGTATTAAATTCTCACACTGTTATTTTAACAATGGGGATAATAACAGGATGTTTTAATAATATAAATCTTTCAAAGGTCGGGTAATAGAGTGTACCATACTAAAATGTCAAATGTCACACGTAATTTAATTAACAGTCACAAAAAAATGTTTTATATAAACCATAAAAATATAAATTTGGTTGCCAACATCCGTACAGTTTTCACAACAACGCATTACAAAAACAGAGAGGCGAAGCCGTCTCTGTTATCCAACGCTGATATAAGAAAAACACAATACGATAGGAAGAAAATTCCTTTCTTTGAAGTCTTATTTTCTATGTGAGCAGAATTTGATATCACTACACGTGCAGCCAATGCGAACAGAGTCTAAAAGATATGAGGATTAATGCATTATTCATACCCACGTCAAACGTGGAAAGGGTCTAAATGCAATCAGAACGTAGAAGGAAAATTACGATACGCCCTCAAACAAAAACAGGAATCAGAGTGATGGCGTCTCTTAGTCTAATTTATTACTTGCCCTTAAAAGCCTAAAACTAAAATGATACTAGGTTTTTTTAATCATCGAACATGAAGGAAGATCGAACAAGGTTTTCACCAACGGATCATTTCAAAAAGATATTTCCTACCACAAAAAATAATTAAAACGTGATTTAGAAACTAATGTTTTTAGGATGGTGTGTAGCTAGCACCAACCCCAAAGCCTAAGCTACAGAACCATCTATGTTTGTCATCCAGAACTATTTAGCCAACGTATTCGCAGTCTGGAGACTTTCTGAACGTCCCAAGGATGCGATCACAGCTAAAACAATTTTTTTACTGTAGAAGAAACTGACATCTGTCACTCGACAGCTCATACGATCCTCCACAAAAAATATCCCACACCTACTTCATGGTAATTTAAACAAGAAAAGTAAGGTGGTAATCATATATACCACCCATTTTAACATTCAAAAACACTGAATTTCTTCTCACGACGTATTTATCGGTTTCTCAGAAAAACAACAACAAATATTTCCTTAAACAGCGTTAACCAGTTGATATTTTTAATGGTGAAGTGTAGTGTTTTCTTCGCGGTACGGACTGAGTTCTTACGTAATATTTATACGAGCTTCGGCTTCAAAGGATTAACCAGTTGATCTTTTCAATGGTAAAGTGAAGTGTTTTCTTTGCGGTACGGACCAAATTCTTAAATATTATTTAGACGAGCTTCGACACTAAAAGGTTTTAACTCGAAACACGTCTAATAACTGCTTATAAAGCCCTCGGATGGGTAAGGCAAAATTGCCTTTGGATGCATAACCACTCGTGACCCGCTCTGGATTAATCTCAATTACATCTCATTACATTCTCCTGACGCAGTTAAGTCTTTAGTTCACAAAATGAAGCAGGCGACACGCAATGAACGGAGAATATTTTGTACTTGACTGTTGACGCCCGATACGTCACAGCGTCTGTAATAGCCCATTTATGTAATCTGCGTAGCGTGCTTACAGGAACACCGCCATTATAATTTTACAGCCTTCCTCCTACATCCAACGGATCCAAGGCATGCGAGATTGAAAATAACAAAGAACTTTGGAAAACGATCACTTGGAAGACCGAGGAAAAGATGGAAAAAACAACGGCCACGGGTTTCGTGCGAACCCCGTACTTATTGTAACACTGACACCCTGTATAATGTGAAATAGTTACGAGACATCGAAAAAAAAACTTCTGTTCATGTCGACAGAATCTGACAACTATCGGTGGCTGTGAGCAGCTGTTCGGCGAAAAGAAAAATGTCTTGATGAGGAACACTTAAAGGGATGCGAATTTCGACAAAAATTAAAACTGACACCGAAAGATTAATGAGGCGAATGTAGTATCCTCACACCCTTTTGTCGTGGCGACAAAACTTTCAACGCAGATCAAACAAATGAAGCTATGGGTTTATAAAACGTGATGGGCTTCCTAAGGAGATGGAAGATGGTACAAAATGGTAAGAAATGCTCCTAACACAGCACAGCGTATTTATGGTTTTTGTGTGATTTTGAGCACAAACATCGATTATTTCCTTATTTCGAAACAGAGACTCCTCATGTTTCTTTGAGGTATCGAGAAAACTTCTGAATAACTTCTTACTTAGACCAGAGTCGTCTTTCTAATGGTCAGGGCTAATCCTTATCGTAAAACAGCAAGGACCTCTGTAAATCCACTTCGTTCGTTGGTCAGAAATTTTTCGTTTTTCCGAAACGTCGGTTGCAGATAGAACAAGCAAAGACGGTATTAATAACAGCAAAGTTTATAAACAAAAAATAACTTTACAGCCGTTTCCACGGTAACGATACAATACCATCAAATACCAGCTTAGCGTAAAGAAACTTTTAATCACTAATTTTACGGCTGCTACTGAACGCGTGGCCATTATCGTAAAACACACTTAATTCGCTACAATTAACGTAAGAAACGTAAGAAATTCTGACCGGACTCACCTCTGCCAGCCCGTCAGGGCGATACCTCTGAAGCCGCCTTTGAACTTCGGTCCTTCTGTGGTCATGACCTCCAGCCACCGAAGATTGTTCTCCAGATGGCGTTTAACGTTCGGTATGTACAGGGTCTCTCCAAAGGCGCCCTTGAACGCGCTGGCTGACCACACGTAAGGGAAGACACCCGCGAATTTGTCCCAAACCATACTCGGGACAAAGCGATATACTTCTTCAGCGTACACCCAAACCTGCGACAGTCACGCGAAACAATGGAGCTGGGCCGACAAAGATGGCAATCCTCTGCGATGCTGGGCCGACAAAGAAACCAGACTACCCGGTGCAGCATCGCAGAAGACAACCATCGCCTTGAGACCCCAGAGATCTCATCTCGTAAAAGTACGCAACAAACAGAAATGCTATGCAATGACCTTGATGAAACAGGGTGTGGATTGGATTCATCTGGCTCAGGATACGGTCCAGTGTCGGATAACAGAATTGCAACGACAATAAATGAACACGAAGACGAACAAAACAAAATTGCAAAGACAATAAATGAACACGAAGACGAACAAAGGAAGTCACATTAAAAATCGTAGTAAATGTGCTTGTCGGCAAAAAGGAACCATATCAGATTACACAATTTGGCTTCCTATGGTGGTGTAACAGGTTACTACATTCCCACCGCCGATAAATATGAGCCCGAAACAATTAATCTATCTTCGTTGATTATACAAAACCATTTCTTTGCTAATTTGAATCGAATCTTCCAACTCGTCACATAATTAAACATTAAGAAAATGTCTGCACGCCACTGGAACCATGACAGCGAGAGAGAGAGAGAGAGAGAGGAATTAATTTCTCTTGCTACTGCAACTGTTTACTCAATTAATTCTGCAGCATACATTAACGAAGTGACATCATCAGGTCTCAACACCTGCAGCCAGAATGCGATACTTCGCTTTGTGAAGGGGGGCCCCAAATAAATTCCTCAAGTCTCTACGATCGCGTTACCCACATTTTCATTTCGCCATGACAGTAACTGGACGGACGAGGACCAGTTACGAGAAATATGGGCTTCCGACCACACTAAGTTACAACGCGTAGGTTTAAAAGTCAGAAAATCAACATCACGGATTCACAACGTAACATATGTTTCAATATTAAATCATATCAGTTTTTGTTTTACGAATATTTATGTGTTTCGTACGATTCTCACAATAAAAGGCGATTATTTCTCGAAAAACAATTAAACAAATTATCTCGTAACGGCAATTATTTATTTTATTTATTTATTTAGTGTTCTGTCTGACGACGGGTCCATATGAACAGGATCCTTCCATCCTTTTCTCGGACTGGGACCTGTTCATATACGTTCTTGGCAGATGATCCAGAAGTGGTTTGCCTTTGCCTTCTTCTGTGTGTGAATGGAGTAATTGTTGGGATGCCACGGAGGAAAACTCCGTGTTGCCTAGACCACGGCCTTGCCCAACACAAGTTATAAATTCGGGCACCGCCGGGAATCGAACCCGAGACCCCAGGATTACAAGGCCAGCGTTCTAACCGCTAGACCACAAGTAACAAACGTTAAGTTATTTATTGGTTAAGCGACAAATGAAAGAGTACATCCACTTTAATGCATCAAAGTAATTACTTATGGGCTCTACCAAATGAATTAAGTAAGTGGTCTTCGCCACCAACGGCATTAGCCCCAAATCAAAATAGATGGAAAGACGTAAATAGGACGGTACCGCTCCCAAGTTGTAAACTCCAAAGAACAGGGTCTTTCTTCAGAGGCCAGTCATTACGCGCACTTTCTGTAAGGCGAAGATTCATTATCGTGACCATAAGAACCCTGAAATGAACCCTGTCACTAGCAAGTTCAATCTTACCCACTCTCTCACAATCTACTTTTTAAAGCGTCTTCTTTCCTTCAAATTTTACAGCTTTTACAAGTTTTTGGTCATCTCTCCCATGCATGCTACATGTATTTCCAATCTCACCCTTCATGGTCTGATCGCCCTCGTATTAATTACGAATTACGAAAACTCATCATTACAAAAATTCTCGCAATTTTCCCGTTATCCCACTCTTGCGTCGAAACATTACGTCGCAGAAGCGTTCCCGATTGTCCTACGTCATCGAAAGAGAAGATTTACTGCCATTCCAAGATACGAGGAAAGAATCTCCGAGTCTTCGACTCGTTCCTGCAAAAACCAAACTTCAAGTCTGAATCAACATGATTTTCTTCTGATCTGATCTGCAGCTTTGTTCATTTCAGAGTTAGAATTTCTTTAAATCGCGACCTAATTATGACAGACTGTGTACTATAGTTACTGCTGCTGCTGTGGATAAAGTTATAAAGTGTTTAATTCAACATCGCCCTTAAGACTTAAAAGGATTGTGGAGGTAAGGCTCCATGTATTCTTAACCTCCGTTTCAGACAGAGGTGAGTGGTCAGCTTAATGCTTCAACCATTATTATTTGTATTTTGAACAGTATCAAAGAGACGTATGAAAAATTCTTGGACGGTAAATATCAATTTCCAACAAGAATAATTTTTGACAAAAGTTAATGCACCCTCCAGTCTGTAAAAATACGTGCGTTTAACCTGAATACGTTTCCTTTTTTTTTCATTTTACACTTTAAAAACCAGAAATCATCCACCACAAAACAACTTTAATGTCAGGTTCTACACAAATCAGTCAGCAGATCAGTTTTGAAAACCCCATCGCTGGCAGACAAACCAAAGGAAAAACAAATGGGGATGTTCGATACCGTCTCACGTTAATACCGACACAAATTCCACTATCAACGTTGGACCCAGATCAAAATAAATGCATCGGGCAAGGTCTGTGCACTCCAGAAGCCAACAGCTTACCATGGGTTCAACGAGTTCTCCGATATGGAACTCTTCAAGGCTTTGAGGGGACAGATGTCTTAGCATATCGTCCCAGACAATGGGAGTCACAGAGCCATATCGGTTACGGACGAAGCTGGCAACACGTGCTACGTGCGACAGAAACAAGGTCTCTCGCATCTGTGAGCGACATCGCCGGCATTCGCCCATCTGGAACACCTCGTCACAACCGATGTGCAGGAAACGAATTCCCTGATGCAGTTCCATGACCTGCGAAACAAAAATTCTTCCCTGAGGTCACCACGACAACCCGATCACGTGCGAGGAAGTACGCACAGCACCACACATTTTTAACCAGGACAGTAGACAGTAATGAGAGGTTACTTCCACGCACTAACCACTTCGCCCAAGATACTGATTAACAGATTGAGATTAGAAAGATGGGTGGACCTCAAAACCAGTGCGAGACATGTCTGCCCGTCGACATTCAAACGCCTTACCTGTTCAATCATCTTCTCTACAAATTCCATGGACGCGTTGAACGAAGGACACAGTGCCTGAGGAGATTCGGGTACCTCACGGAGCTCAGCGAACTCGGGATGTTTCAGGGCGAACTCGACGTGGCCGAATGTTTGCACCAGAGGTATGACATCCAGCTCGGAACCGCGGGCTGCCGCGAGGATGTCTTCAACATCCCGACGGGAATAACAGTTACCAGCAGCGATCGAAGAGAGACTTCCGCTGAAAGGGAACATGTCCTCATACTCCAGCAGAATTCCAGTGGCACCAAGCTGACGTATCAGCGGGAAAAGACGCTTCAAGTAGCTCACCTGCAATCAAACAGCACTGAGTGACCACAGTAATTCCTGAGGGCCATCGTAATGGCCTATCAGCTGCGTCAGATAAATCACCAGTGTCTAGAAGCCTCTGGAAGGAGCACAGAGCACGAAGACCACGCAGGTTTCAGAAGCCGATGGCATCACACAGAATTTACTACGACTACACGGGGTTACAACTCAGAATACAGCCATATTCGTTCTCACCGCCGGTAGAACCTCAGATCCTACGCAGTTAACAAGTTTTTCATTAAACCAACTTTAAAAGAGACTCACCTTTGGAGGCGCTCCTTTGAGATCGAAATGAACGAGCCGTTGTTCAGGGACGTAAGGTTTCTTGGGGTCGAGGTTAATGTACGGAATTCCCATCTGGTAAGAACCCTGCTGGTCGTAACTGTTGTACTGCGCCGCCGACTGCCCTCCAGGTGTCGACAACTCCACAGCGGCCCTCTGCACCTCCCCATTGAACTGTTCCAAAGCCGCCTTCCTCGCCGACAGCTCTTCACGGGCGGGCTGGTCCTCTGGTATACGCGCCCTTGACACTAACCGATTCCTGGCAACCTCCGCTTCACGAGGTGGCGTCACTAAGACTTCCTTACCCCCTGACTGCACAAACTTAACATTTTCACCACCAATACTTCGTTTCAAACCATCTGGATCGTCTTCCAAAACGTTACCACCGCCTTCAGGGTCAGGAAGACGATGTACCTGGACATCATTAGTTAATTTAGCTACGTCACTGTTTCTCCCTTCTTGGTGGTTACGTAAAGTCCTCTGGAGCGGGGATTTATCATCGTTGCCTGAAGTGGGTTCTTGAGGGTTGTCTTCGGGTTTGGAATCAGAACGCGATGCTGAGTTATATTGCAGACATAGGATGATAAGCACCAGGCAAGCAGCGAGGCCGAGCAGCGTCGATTTACGACGCCACGCGGTCAGTCCCAGGCGTCCAGCGTAAGACGCCGCCAACCCCATCTTGCCGTGCTCCTCTGCAAAGCAAAAAATTTAATTTTGGACATCAAACATTTAGTTAATCTTGCGTGGAATTTGAGTTTGATTCACCGTCTTTAAAAAGGCAACAAGCCTGTCGTAAAGTGAGTTTGATTACATCGCTGTGATCTTTAAAAACTTACGTATTTTCTCTTAAGCAGTGGTATTCGACCTTTTTTGTTCGCGTACCCCCAGATATAATTTCTCTTCAATTTTGTACCCCCAAAAATTGTTGGTGTATAATTCAAGTTATACATAGTATATAATCTACATCTAAAATCAATTAAATAAATTACATTACTGATTATTTAGTGTTTATCATAAAATAATATATATATTTTTTTAAATTTCAAGTACCCCCTAAGATGTCTTCGCGTACCCCAGGTTGAATACCACTGCTCTAAAGAACTTCTAAGGCACTACTCTAAGATTTCTCCAGTAATTCTCCAGAAACTTCTCCAGGACACCCCGAGACCACGTGATGAACAATAATAATTCTCCAGGACACAACCCAACTGATCTGTGATTATAGTGAATCCGCTTACAACTAATACACTTATTATGGTTCGATATATTTTTTTGTTTTTTGTAAAACGTTTCTCTTCTTATGCAAAGACTGAGTAAACTTCATTTAACAGAATGTCTCCAACTTTCACTAAGGTTCTACTGGGCGGGGATTTTATTTCTGTGTACAGAGTAAATGAGTGTAATTTACAGCGGCAGAGGCCATGCAGCGCAGAAGAATGGCCTTGCTTCTGAAGAGAAATATCCCTTCCAAGTCCCAATAAATTAAAGGTCCTCAGTTTCTCTCGTCTGACTTAACAGATAGTCTACTCCATTTATCACAGCTGAAACGGACAAATTACGGAAAGCGTACTTGTTTTGTTTTTTTTTGTAACGAAGCCTAATAACAATACAAACTGCAGAAATATGTTTGAAAAAGTCATAATAACTACAAATAGACTATCATCCATGCTCGCGAATATAAACAACTGGGCGAATTTGTACCACAAGTAGGAGCATTACACGTCATTAAATGTATGCAGAATTCACTGATAAAGCTAGTATAACAAGGCTATGACAGTTCTGCCATCTGTGCACAATGTGTGGAACTTTATTCACATAAATGGACGTTTATTTGTGAACATCCCACATGACAGGGACTGGAGTCAACATTGCAGATTTACAAATCTCGTAGCTTGGCATTTGTGATGGGACACGACGCCCGGAAAAAAGTTAAATTGTGCTTAGCGCTTTCTAGGAAACCCACTTTTTCCCCCAATTGAGCTTATGTAAGACGTGGGTAAACAATTAGAAAGACCCCCACACTCACCTCGTACCCCTCCTCCTGGCAACTGTTACAAAAACATCTCTTCGTCTACTGTAACTTATCGACACAAGCCACTTTTCTCTACCTCACTCTCGACCCACCTCAAACTAACTCCATGCCTTATGGAGAAGCCGATAATTGCTCAGAAAATTAGTAACTTTCATTGATCTACAGGGTTCAATACTGTTATCGGACAGTATCCTGAATCATATAAATCCAGTCCACACTCTTACACTATATTTCTTTAAGATCCATTTTAATATTATCCTCCAAAATGTGCCACTTCCCTTCAGATGTCCAGAATAATGTGTTTTACATATATCCCCCCCCTTTTGATTTGCTGATCTTAATGATATTTTGCCAAGAGCGCAAATTAAGAACGTCCTCATAATTTAACTTTCTCAAATCCCCTTTCACTTTCTCGATTTTACGTCTAGACGTTCTTAATAACCCTTTGTTCTCAAAGACCCTCAATCGACGTTCTTCATAAAGAGAAGTCATTACCAAGTTACAGATCTTTTTTAAAAAATATTTTCCCTCCCCCAATGCAACCCCACCCCCGTCATCCGTCACTCTCCTGTCACCATAAACTGACAGTCACACAACTTTTCCCCGCTTCTCGAATTCCCAAATTCCCTCCTCGTTTCTCCTCCCCCCCTCTCAACGCAATTTCCCCCTCCCTTTTCTGTCTTCCAGCTCCTGCTGTTCTCCTTCCCGATCATCGCCATTCATCCTGCGCCATTACACGACACAAGAACAAATCATTGCCATCTGACAGACATGCAAAGTGTTTCAAGGAGACATCTAATGAAATCACACAATTGATGAAGATGGCGGTCTTCTGAATAGTTGCGTTGTGTAGTCTGGGTTTCGGAGGTCCTTCCTGCCTCCATCATCAGGGCGAATAGCCTGTAAACTTTTATGAGACTACAGTCACCGTTACACACACACGGCCCTGAGAACATAAAAATGTCGCTGAGACATTTGTTCGTTTTTCATCATCTCTTAATATGTCAAATCTGAGAGACAGGAAATTGAAAAGAAGGCTTGTCGACCTCTGAATTAAAAGACGATGATGGTTATTAGGGATTTTCCTATTTCTTCGCACCGTTAGTCAGATTCGACGGAAAAAAGGTATACCTCCATGAATTCTTAAGTGTAGAAAAAGAATTTGAAAAGATGTAGGCTCATCTCGTTAAATACTTCTGGAATTGCGCATTGCAATCAGCTGAACACGTATCAGTTAATTTTCATAAGACAACAAAGCGCTGGACACACCAGGAATAAAACTTATACAAAAAAAAAAAACTTAATAATATGAATTTTAATATTCGGGCTTTTATATACGAAACAGGACGATAAAATACTTTGAAACGATCCATAACTCATACGTTCTTGTACATCAAAACGCTGACATATCCATTCACGTGGCGAATGGAGATAGATTTGTATGATGTAACATATCAGGATTCAGCGCGAGGGAGCTTCAAAGGATATTGATGACTCAATATTACATTCACTTCGAAATCTGATAGCATTCAGTCAATGTTTTACTGCGATCATATCAAATTCTCTGAGCCCGGCGATCAATAACATAACATCAACAAACTCGAACCTTAAATTTAGACAAGTTTCATTTCCCAGTTTAATTACTAGCTTTTAATTATTGCTTTTTTTTATTTATATTACCTTTTCATAAAGTTACGTGATTACGCTTTACGATTATATTTAAAATACACTGTCGAATCGTTTGCACGCACAAAGCCTGGAACTTTCCTTATTTTGCTCGTACATCCCTGATGACTTAAGAAGACGTATCTCACGATGAATGACGCCAGGTAATCACCAGGTACAGCGCGTTACAGCTATCCGACGCAAGAGAGACTGTAAAGAATTCTGATTAAAATTTGTGACTGCCATCTGACAGTAGCTCTCAACGAGATGCTTCAGCCGACATATTAAATATTTCAGAAAAATCTTTTGAAGAGAAGTGAAGAAGAAACGAATGTGATACAGAACCAACTTGTAACTGCATCAACGAAGCGTAATAATCAAATAGCCAACGTGAAGTAGGAGGGGGGGAGGAGGAGGAATATTAGTTAAGTCTGTTGTATTCTCCCATCCGCAAGACGCCCGCAAGGAACAAAAACATACAAACTTTGGCTTCTGAGCTTCAAACAAACACAACCCCCCCAATTATAGAAGTTTGTAATACGAGTAAAACTTTGAAGTGCCAAAGTCTCTTGTTTACCTGACTGAAGCACACCTCTTCAACTGCATTTGTACATCGTCGAACGATCAGATTGTCAAGAACGAAGACACACAAGAAGACGTACTGTAAAATAAATCGGCTGTTGCCTATTTTACAGAAATATTCCCAGAATTTGCGCTTAGAGACTGAGTAAAACGATGGCAGAGAGAGAGAGAGAGAAAGAGAGAAAGAGGAAATTTGGGGGGGGGGGAGAAGTGAGAGACACTTCGATATCTGGGGGGGAGAAAGAGCATCTTATAGCTAGAAGGTCCCCAGGCAATGCCCGCTCGTCCTTCTGTTAAGGATAAAGTAAGAGTGAAGGCGTTAGTGTGATGATTGGCATAAAAGACGGAATTTTGAAATTTTGTATTAGAGAAAGCTGAGGCTATTAATTTGGAAGTTTAATACATAATTTAGAAGTTCCTACTGAGGGGAGGGGGGTAAATTTTGACGGCGTTAAGGGGTGGTAAATTTTGATTAATTTAAATCGGGAGGGCTGCATGAGAAGCTTGCAGTGGCGACTTGGAACTTGGGAACCATCTCAGCATTTGCTTGAAGACAGAGGAAAACCAAGGAAAAACCTGTGTCGAGATGGCCAAAACGATGGCAAATCAATCCACATAATATTTAAGAATTCAGTCCGTACCGAAAAGAAAACACCACGCTTCACCATTACAAAGATTAACTGGTTAACGCTGTTTAAGGAAATAATCGCTGTTTATAGTGAGAATCATACGAAAACCATAAACAAGTCTATTGGCAAAATACAGTAACTAAATATTGAATCAAGTGGTACATATAGTAACCACAGTGCTAATGAGAGTTAACTAATGGAAACGACCCATTGCATTTCAACGGGAAATTGCGTACTTCGTATCTTAACCCCCCCTCTGCCTCCCCTAGTCCCTCTCGTACTTTTAAATTCTTGCTTCCTTTCGAATCCCTTTCAACTTGAAACAAAATAACATCAGCCCTGCTACGTACTACGTTATTTAAAACGTTTTCATCAACTCTAGAGTAAGACAGCCGGGAAATGTAGCGTGCGTAGGAAGATAATATTAAAACAGATATTGCGAAAGTAGTGATTAAGAATTGTGTTTGGACTCAGCTGGCTCAGAATAGAGACCTGTAGTGGGCTTCTGTGAACACGATAATGAACCTACGGGTTCCATTAAGATATCTTACAACTAGCTGAGATGTGAATGCAGGGATTCCCCATTTGCAGTTGCTTTAATAAAATTTCAAAGTTTAATTTACCACGAAAAATATTCACTCGAAGAATTTTGATGTTTTAATTTTAACGTTTGCCTGTCTTATGTTATTCTTTTATCTGATATTTGAAGATAGTTAAAATTCTGTTGGTAAGTTATATAAAAGCAAAATGAACAGAAGTACAGACGCGATCATAAGCGGTCGAG